TTTTTGGCCTGTTCCAGGCGGCAGGGATAGGCAGCAGTGGTAGCAATCCCCGCTGCCTGGAACAGGCCAAAAATGGGATGCACAGAAACCGAAAATGGGGCATGTGGAGGTGGTGATAGGCGGCAGCAGCAATGGGTGGTGACGGCAGCGACAGGCAATGGTGATCCCAGCAGCCTGGAACAGCTGATAGTATTCAGGGAGGCCAATCCAATCACCAATCAGCTGCTTGTGCTAAATCAGCTTTGGAAGTCATATTAGCACCAGAAGCTTCCAAACTGCCAGCTGTGCTGAAGCTGACCAGGCTATTTGCTGTTTGCTGCAAGGAAGTAAATTGCTGGGAGGCAGAGGCAGATTCCCCCCGGTTTTCCTCCCCAAAAGCTAGGTGTGTCTTATACTTCGGAGCGTCTTATAGTCCAAAAAATATGGTAATTTTAGAACAGTTTCTACAGGTACTCTCTACTAAATTGAGGTTTTGGATGCAAAACACAACCCAGAAACAGGACAATATAATTGGATGAAGACTACATGGCAACAAAATGGTCAGAGGATGTTAGAAAAATAGAGAAGGAGAAACAATAGGAAAGCCTGTTCCAGAAAGAAGCTGAAAGGGATAAAAATGAAAGAAAGAAGCCTTTAGCTCCTGCCCAAACAAAAGGGGAGCATTGGGAAGTCAGAGCCCTGTGGTTGTTACAACTGTGGAACTTTTGTCAAAACTAAAAGCTAGAGGAAAAAGGGAATGTCTACAGTATGCAAGCATCTCTGGGGAGAAAAGTTATAATCCCAGCAAATTAATGGGGTCACTGTTAGAGGATTAGTAGATAGTGGGAGTAGATGAATGTTGGACATTCTCATTTAGTAAAAAGGCAGCATCTATGGGAAAAGATCCCCTTACAAGTATGTTTGGCACATTGAGAATGTTCCACTGGTTAAAGCCAGAGTGCCGATATGGGGAAAGGAACAAGTAATAGTGATTGGAGTTATCCTAATTTACCATGTAACCAGGGGTGGGTTCTACTTACCTTTACTACCGGTTTGTAACGGGGCCGCGCTCGCGCAATGCGCAGAAGCATTTTAATGACATCGGGGTTGGTGGGTGGAGCCTCCCGCTGGTTTTACTACCAGTTCTATAGAACTGGTGCGAACAGGGGGCAACCCACCACTGCATGTAACCTAATGATTGGAACAGATTTTTCATTTATAGAGGGATGGACTCCGAAAAAAAGGATTCACGAAGGAGGCTAAAATAGAGGGTATTCCCAGTCTAAGACAAAGACAAAGATGGAACAGAAGCAGGAAGTGAAGGAACCTGGGATTTGTCCTAACCATCCTGGTTTTGTAGGAGAAATGAGATGTCCCAGAAAGGAAAAAGCTTTATGAAAGGCCAACAAAACTAGGGGTAAACTCACAGTGACAGACATTCCTAAATGGAAAATTCACCTGGGACACTTACAAAGGAAACCAACGTTGTTGGCTAGCAGCAGAAAAGGAGAGAAACTGGGAAACAACACTCAGAGTCTAAGAAAAATCAAGGTTGCTGTACTGAATAACGGCTTCATCCCTATATGAAGGAACAAATTGAACAGATAACAGTTTGCCAAGGAATATACTGCAAGGCAATATTGGAAGTAGCCCATGAAATTCCATGGGCTGGACATATGGGTAGGAATAGGATCACATACAGAATTTTAGATTTTAGAATATTAGGCCAGGGAAGTGGCCCAGTAATGTAGATCCTGCCCTATCTTTCAATTGATAAAACCAAAAGGGGACTATGATAAAGTTCCTATAGAGAGATTGCCTTTAATCTCTACTTTTCTAAAATAGCTATGAATATTGTGTAGGCCTTTTGCCACAATGTAGTAAATGAGTATATTCTAGTTATCTGTGATTATGCAATTCAATATCCTGAGGAGGTTCCATTAAGGAATGTGATCACCAAAATAACAGCAAAGTAGCTGGTCAAAATCTTTAAGAAGGGTAGGCATACCAAATGAGATCCTTGCAGATCAAGGATCCAATTTCCAATAGTTGCTGCTGTATGTGTAGACCTGGGAATAAAAGGGGTGTATACAAGTCCTTATCCACAGGCAATTATTCTTATGGAAAGGGCGAACCAGAAATATCAAGAAATATGCAGGCCAAGACTCAAAACATTGGGATATGTGGCTGCCTTTTCTATTGTTTCCCTACAGGATAATTCCCCAGGCATTAACAAAATTTAGCTCTTTTGAGTTACTACATAGGAGAAAACCTTCAAGAATTTTAGGCATTATTAAAGGTGTGGTGTGAAAACTTAGAAGGCCCAAAGAACTTAATCAAATATATATTAATGCAGAGGAACAAGTTAAAAGCCCTAGGACACATTGCCCAGGAATATTTAGAGATTAGCCAGGGAAGGCCGGAAAGACACTATGATAAAAGTGCTGGTGGCGCAGCAGACAGTGCTGTTAAAGTAGCACCAGCTGCCTGCAATTACTGCAAGTTCAAATCTCACCAGGCTCAAGGTTGACTCAGCCTTCCATCCTTTCGAGGTAGGTAAAATGAGGACCCGGATTATGGGGGCAATAAGATGACTTTGTATAAAAAAGAACACCGCTTAAGGGGGGCCGAAAGCCCTACTAAGCAGGTATATACAAAAGTATGAAGGCTATTGCTTAACGCATTGTAAGCTGCCCTGAGTCTCCGGAGAAGGGCGGCATATAAATCGAACCGATAAATAAATAAATAAAGGCAAAGAAATTTAATATAGGAAATCAAGTGCTGTTGTTATTACTTGCTAAAGAAAGCAAACAGGTAAGGTTTCCACATAGTAAAGAGAAGAACTGGGCCAGTAAATTATGAACTTGAATTGGAAGTTACGAAAAAGAATCCACCCTGCCATCCTCCTGAGGAAATGGTGCAATAAAAGTGAACCTATAATGGCTTTGTTCTAAAAGAAAGGCATCCAAAATTGTTGAATTGAGCTTGGGAGACAATACTGCGACTATCCCATGGAAAAATCCATATTAATTTAGACCTAGGGGACCATCAAAAGAAAGAGATAGAAAAAATGTTGGGATTGTAAACATATGTTTACCATATAACCGATGTAACTACCCTAGTAGAGCATAGAATAGAAATGGGGAAACTGGACTGATTAGACAATGTCAATTTCTGAGCAGGATTCCTGAGCAGTTAAAAGCTGTGTTACAAAATAAAGTAGAAAAGATGCTCCAGATGGACATTATAGAACCATCTCAAAGTGTCTGGCCTCTCCAATTTTATTGGTCCCAAAACCAAATGTAGACATATGATTATGTGTAGACTTCAGAAAAATAACAGTAAAAAACACTCAGACTTTTTTTACAAGTTTAATGAGTTAGATGCAAAATGTCATAGCTTCAATATTCTATGTTACATACTTGGGAAGTACTCTAGGAAAATCTGAATTGAAAAGCGAGAGTATCATTGCTACTGTACTTAGCAACATAGATATTTAGCTTTATGAATCAGTAATGTAATTTGGTATAAGTTAACCCCCTATATATTGCTACAATAGAAAAAATTAATAAGTTTTTTTTCCTATAAGGCTACGTTATTGTATTTCCTAACAGGTTTGCACAAACACATTTCCCGACATATGCATATTTGTAATAAATTGCATGGAAAAAAGCCCTGGTTTATAGAATGTTTTGCTACTATTTCTTTTTATTGTGCTCCCTAAGGTCCACTACTTGGATTTACCTCACCATTATTTTACATAACTGCTGTAGCAAGCTACCACATTGAGCGAGGCTAATCTACCTAGAGTTGTTAAGGATGTTTTCTTATTTGTTTGACTGTTTATTATTTAATTTACATGCTGCCCATTTCATAGCAACTCTGTGCGGCTCACAATAGAATAAAAAGGTAATTACAAGATTATTAAAATTAAAAGGATTGAATAAGAAACTAAAAACCAAGATGGGTGACATGGGGGTGGATATCATCCTTGTCAACCCCAACAGGCACCCCCAATATAGCAATCAGGGTCCCATGCCAGCTGGCAGAGCCAGGTTTTCAGATCTAATAAATCAATACTCATTTACTGAGTTATTGACATATATTATATAATGTTTTAAAATTAAGCAACAATATATATACTTTCAAGTAGTTTTATAGTGGAGGTGTGTAAAGAAAAACTTTAAATGTGTATGTTCAATAGGTTCTTACTAGTTATCTTAACAATATTTTCTGAAAAATCCCAAAATGCTTTATTCTTGTTTGCCTTTGTACTGTTCAAAAAGAACAGTACAAGATATAGGTTATTAATATATAAGATGTTTTTCATTGTTGATAAAAGAGTGACATCAAGTGGATAGTTTGTGCATAAATAGTTAGGTTTTTTAAGTTTTCCCCTTTCATAATAAATAAATACATATTTTTATTAACTCAATTGAGAAACTTTCTCTTCTCCTACATTGTTACTTCTATTATGGTAACACTGCATTTTCTTGAAATTGAAATTGTTATAATTTGGAAAAAGTAATGGTTTTCTCAGTTTTGTTGCCCTATGAAAATTGTTGTAAATATACAGGCAGGACCAGTATACAATGATACAATGTATATAGCAAAATGTAATAGAATAAATCTAAATAGGAGCATGCATTCTGTGGTCCTTTAAATCAGAGACTAATGAGGGATGATGGAATTTTTTGGTGAAAAATATCACAGATTCTTAATCATTGATAAGCCAAGAAAGGATAAAGTTTTTAAAACTGGCCAATGCACTTTAATTTTTTTTGGAAGGAATAGATCTTCAATGGGTAGGTAGGTAGATAGGTCAATTATATAAAGTGGACATGATTACACCATGCACAGGGATGGATTTCTGTCCCTCCATATTATTACAGCTTGAAGAGATTGTACTATAATGTTCAACTTATAAATATATCATTAGAGCTTCATATCAACATTTAAGAAGTACCAACATAGTTAATAATTTGAATATCAGAAACAATATATCTATTATAGATACTTACTCTGTTCTTGATACTGGGGAACCAAATGAATAGCTTTCAATTCTCTTGTCTCAGTATTGTTTACACAAAGTATATGAGTGCCATTTTTCAACTGACATATTATCTAAAATGCATAACCAATTATTAGTTTGCTACAATTTTCATTCTATGTGTGGCAGAAGTACTGTATTTATATAAAAAAAGGACTCATTAGAATCTTTACTTAAAACCAGCTTATTAATTTCTGGTATTAACACTGAATACTTGTGTAGTTTTGGAAGCATACACGAAGATGTCCATACTTATACTTAAACAATGCTCAATCCTTTACATTTCTGTTTATTGCACAATACTGCAATCTTATGTACATTTATCAGGGAGTAGGTCTTATTAAACTGAAAGGGTATTTATTACTTCTAAATTATAGATTTTAAGACTGAGCTCTAATCTTTTGCATTAAATAATGAAAAAGAAGTCTGAGTGCTTGCAGGCACATGAGAAGGAAAACCACATCCTCTCCATGCCTGCTAGTGGCTTGTACCTCCAATCTACTTTGTTCTACCAGTTGTGACTTTCACGTGGATAAGGATTGTCTATTTATATTATAGCAATAGCAATAGCACTTAGATTTATACACCGCTTCACAGTGCTTTACAGCCCTCTCTAAGTGGTTTATAGAGTCAGCATATTGAACCCAACAACCTGGGTCCTCATTTTACTGACCTCAGAAGGATGGAAGGATTATAAAAGCAGTATCAAGCTTTTTAAATTATTGTGCCATTTGGATAGCAATGTTAACCATAAAAAAATCTAACAAATATATAGATGACTCAACATTTTTAAATAAAAACATGCAAAATTCTCTAATGCAGATGTATATATTGTTATTATGAAGAGGTTATATTTACCACTTGAGGAGTAGAGTAATTTCTCTGTGAATAAGTGGGTTCCTCCACAGCATTTTGTGCAGCTGCCAGATTGTGGCCTGCCTCAGCACCATTTGAACTGTGAAAAACACCTTCCTCGGTATTATTTACTACAAGGCTTACAGCCGTCTCTTTGATCTCATTCTAAAATACAAGCAATTTCATATTTGAAATAGGACACATTATATTAGAATATTAAGAATAAAATCTAATAATTTAAACAGAATATGCTGACATTGATATGTAAATAAGAATTTCAAATTGCCACTGTTCTTAATTGTTATTAAAATATTTTTATAAGGAACATTTTCATTTTCTTTTAACAAGAATATCAAAGAAAATATGGCAGAATTTTTTTTTTGCAACTTCTCCAGGGAAATGCCTGCTTTATGAGCTGTGGCCATTTGGTTTTTAAGGGTTTCATCAAAGACCCCTACATAGTTAGTATTTGTAAGGCAAGGCATTTTTATGTTATTTATTTTTTATTTAATCTATATTCTGAATGTTTGTTTTTAACAATCCTAAAGCAGATTCTATTAGGATATCAGACTTTGTCTTTTTGTTTAAAATATTTGTATTCTTTTCCATTACCAATCCCCCCCCACCCTTGGAATAAAAATGATGAGCAATACAGTACATAAATGACTAATATGTATAATAAATAATCTGAAAACTTAATTCAGGGCATATGTAGATATGGTACATAGAAGCAAAGTTCAGTTTCAGAAGGCCTTCAAATGGGTGATTCTGCTTAATTCATAAAGTTCTATTAGATGTTGCGATAAATGTCAAATTAATACTTACAAATGTATCATAAACAGGATCTGCATCTTGAGGTGAAATACATATACCATTGCAAGATTCTACTGCACAAAACAAATGTGAAAAATTATAAGGACAAATTATACTATGTATAAACCACTGAACTCAAAAAGCAAAATAACTTTGGAAATATCTGAGATTAATTCACCAAAATACCTCGAATATGAAAGATTTCTCCCTATGGAAGGTTCACCTGAATCTTAATCCCATTTTAAATAGAAAGATTTTTTCCATTTGCAGGAGGAATATCCTTGTTGCAATATAATTTATTCAGGTACAGAAGAACTGATATTATAAAATCACTTACCATCAGAACAGCCTGATAAGGTTTGTGACACTGTAGAATTATTAACAATCCCTTTGATTTGGTCACAAGAAATAGTGCTATTTGCATTTGAAGGAGTTAATAAAGGTCTCAATACCTAGGAAACAAAGTAGGCATACTTAAAAATAGTTTTAATAGCTAAAAACTATTATTTACATTGTAAAAGTAAGCCTTTATGATTATCTAATATTGAGTTTTCTTTAGCAAAAAATATTTGTAGAACCCCATAAATTGTAGAACCTTCTATTTTCTGTTCCACTCTTTTGCAGTTATATTGCATAATCCATTGTTATAGAGACTATTCCAGATCCTCCAGAATAGATTTCTGAAGGGAGTGAGAAGTTTAATATTGTTGGCTATATTAGCAATAATCTGAGGTCCTGATATAACCTTTCAGTAACATACTCTTTTGAAACACGAAAACAGGAAAGTGGAGGGATTCTATTAAACTATCATAAGACTTTGCACAAATCTCAATACTTCCTGAATTTAGGATAAGAAGACAGCTCCTTTTATGGATTAGCCCAAAAATTACAGAACAGGAAGTAGTGGGAAAAATACTTTTTCTGCTTTTTTTTCAGTGAAGCAAACTTGCTGTGTTTGCATACATGCATAAACAAAAGAGAACAGCTTCCAGATCAGTTTCAGAAGCTTGGAAAGAGATGCCCTTGATCAAAGAATTTTTAAAAAGTGCTTTGTTTCTATGTGTTCTTAATAGCCTGTTTCAGTCAATTTGGATAGCCAGTCCTATAAATTATCAGTTCTTGCAATGGAAATGTTGCACAAGAGTAGAGATTGGAATGCTCTAATTAGGTAAAGATGCACCAAAGCTTTTGTAACTTTAGATATCTGGATTTGAATAATTGAATAATCCAGATTCAAAGGCAACATACTATCATACTATCAATAAAGAACAAAAATATCATCTTGCCCTGGTTATGATATTCAACATATATTTTGTTGATCACTATATGATGCCCAATATATTTTTATAAAATTAACACTTTTTCTCCCTCAAATTATCAGGATTTAAATTATAAAATATTATTTTAGGGCTAAATTATATAATTCTACATCCTGTATATTAAAAAAACAAGTTGTTCCATTTGGTAACCTAATAGCTTTTAGTTATATAAAATATTTAAAATTTAAAATATTTTGAAGTACTTAATTTGAATTCAAAGCAGATATTTTGCACTCAAAATGCTCAACTCCTCATAAAAGTTCAAAATAGTTGTTCTGAATTTGAGATAGAACACTTTTGAGTCCAAATCATTTTGAATTTAAAATGTTTTATACACCTCCAACAGATTCTTTCCCCATTTTCAGCTTCTATCTCCAAATCTATTCTAATGAAACATCCTCAGAGGCAAAGAGAAACTTGTGTTGCATAGCTGCATGTGATAATATAAGTCATCAGTCTTAAAATTGTTTCAGATTTAATCAGCAGTACTCAATAATGTAGTTTATTAGTTCCAATTTAATATAATTAAATATAATAAAGTGTGATAAATATAATAGCTATGATTTTTCTAAATTGTAAATAGAAGCACAATCTTACTGGTGTAATTTCTGTATTTGTACTGATTGTTCCATCAGGAGTATTGGTGCCAAGAGATAGTACAGCATTTCTATCTTGTGTCATTAATGAAGAAAATTGAACACTGTATGAATGTAGTTGCAATTCTGGTAAATATGCACATCTTGCTGCTTCTGAAGGAGCCTCTTCAGATACTTTTTCATATTTTCCAAGGTCTTCATCACAATGATCTTGTGTAGATGATTGCATTTTTACTTCTAGCACTGCAGTTTCATTTTCTCTGTTAAGCGTATGTTTCAAATGATCAACTGCAGTTTCACCTGTGCAATTTAAACAAGTATCTTGACTACAAAGAGCTCCCTTTTCAACTGGTTTATTTAGTAAATCAATCTTAAGATTATGGTTTTCAGAGCTAACTGCAAATCCTTTATCTGTCCTGGAAATTCCAGCAAGAATTAGATGATTTTCCGTAGGTACAGTTAAAATTTCAGACTGGCTATGTTTCATCTCAATGGAAACACGTCCTACAGCAGTTTTCCTCTTGGTAAATGTATCAGCTTCAAAATAAGAAAAAAAGTAATATAAAGCTCTCATCATAAATTTAAATACTCTTCTCCATATATAGTCAGACAGTATAATAAATATTAAGTTATACTCTATACATTAAATATATTCATTATATTATATATTAAATCATCGGATTAGAAAGCAGAAAACTGTGAGTTCTAGTTGTGCTTTAGCCATGAAAGCCAGCTGGATGACTTTGGGTCAATCACTCTCAATCCAACTCACCTCATAGGATAGTTGCTGTGGAGACAATTGGAGGAAGAAAGTGTGTTAGATATGTTCACGGTCTCGAGTTATTTGTAAAATATTATGAGGTGGGATACATATAAAATAAATAAATATAAATAAATCATATTCTAAGTAGATGGCAATACTTATTTTGTAAATTGATTATATATGAAATTCTATGCTTATTTAATTAGTGTTACATATTTGCATTTTAAATGCATTAATATGAGAAAAATCACATTGCAATTTTTTTCTATACATCTGAAATACTAAAATGTTTTTGTTACAAAATAAGAATAATCTGTATTAGACACAGGTGAAGGTTTTATTCTATCATACCTGATATCTCTGTTTCTATGAAAATATACACCTCTGCCAATATAAATATAATCCTGTACTTTGGAAATGTTAGTATGTTGCTTATCTATAAACTACTAGAACTCTCATTATCATGACTTTTAATTGGGTGAAGTGGTGCATAATAGAGCAACAATTTTTGAACCAAGGTACATCAAATGGGTTAATTTACAAAATGTGCCCAAATCCAAGATTCCTAAAGGAATGAAAGATGGAAACATTGTGTGGTCATGTGATCTTCATTTTCAGTGTCCTATGACAGCTACCAAATCAATCTCACAATCCCTTGCTCCCCTCTTGCTCCAACAACAGCAGGCGTTTAACTGCCTGCTGGGAAGGGAAGGGGAAAATTTCTGATGCTTCCTGTTAGATTCCCACAAGGAACTCAATGGGGAAGCCAGCAGGAAGTTGGAAGCTACTCCTGGTCCTACTGCTTTTTTGCACAGCCTTGGTAATTCTGTTTCTCTATTTAGGTAAGGAAATATCTCTGAAACAATGACTAAATGGGGGTACTGGTTTTGTAGTTACATTTATAAAATGAGCATATTTATTTTCATATTCTGGTCATAGTCAGTTTAGAATTAAAGTACAAACAATCATGGTTTCATAGTAGGTGGCAATTTGTTAAAGCTCACCAATGAAATATGATTAATATCAGAATGAAACAATCTAAAAGGTGAATTCCGATTTCAATTTGTGATTTTTAAATTACAATTTATTAATTTATATTCCTCAAGGTATACTGAATTATCTTTGTACATGCTAACTGCTTCAAGGATATTATAGACTTTATACTGCAAATCATACGATTCTCTCACTGAAAGAATAGCTGAAGAAATTATTAGGAGTATGCTTTGATATCTAAAATAACTTTATATCTTAAAAGAAAATCTAACACAGAAATTTAATTCAAATTGGATAGCATTCATAGATTTCAATTTAACACATGGATTGGCTGTATATTCAAAGATTATATTCCTCTATGCTTAGAGTCTACATGTTTTTATTGAACTTCCAAATAAGAACAGATTTTGGCAATTCAGATAATATTTATTACAGTTTATAAACTCACTTGGTGAATTAGTGTTTTGAATATGACTACTGATATTCCTGATTTTCTCAGTAAATACAACTTATATTATGAAGTACAATTTCAAAGCAAACCAGACTGTAATGCATATCAGTAGATTCACTTATATGAATATGAATACTGAATATTATACTGAATATGAAAATCAGCAAGAAGCTAATATAAATCAACATTACAACAAAAAATATAGTTGACTGATATTCAAGAATATTTTTTATTTCAGCCTTTCAAAATTTTCAAAGCATTACATCCTCAACTTTACAACACTATTTTATCTGGGTAATTTTTTGCTTTACAATTCCCCTACAGTATTCTACATGAACAGAAACCGTACATCAAGAGGGGGTGGGGGCAGTGGTGGGATTCAATTTTTTTAACAACAGGTTCTGTGGGTGTGGCTTAGTTGGGGGGTGTGGCTTGGCAATCATGTGACTGGGTGGGTGTGGCTAGCTGGTCACGTGACTGTGTAGGCGTGGGTAGCTCGTCATGTGACCGAGTGGGCGTGGCTATGTGCATATGGACTACTCAGAGGGCTGAAAAAAGTGATTTCTGACAGGTCCTCGCACTTTTGACTGGTCTTCGCACTTATGACTGGTCATCATTTATGCCCATTGTAGCATTCTTAACAACCATGTCACTCATTTCACAACTGCTTCTCTTCACCATGGTGACAAGATAGGGCAAAAACGTAAAATGTGAGGACAGTCATAAGTTCGAGGACTGGTCAAAAGTGCGAGGACCAGTCAAAAATCACTTTTTTCAGCCCTCTGAGTAGTCCATATGCACAAAAGGACTACCCAGAGGGCTGAAAAAAGTGATTTCTGACAGGTCCTTGCACTTTTGACCGGTCTTCGCACTTATGACTGGTCATCATTTATGCCCATTGTAGCATTCTTAACAACCATGTCACTCATTTCACAACTGCTTCTCTTCACCATGGTGACAAGATAAGGCAAAAACGTAAAATGTGAGGACAGTCGTAAGTTCGAGGACTGGTCAAAAGTGCGAGGACCAGTCAGAAATAACTTTTTCAGCCCTCTGAGTAGTCCATACGCATAAAAGGATACAGCAATAGAGAGGGATGAAGGAAGGGAAGAGAAATTAGAGTAGGAGGGAGGGTAAGAGAGGGAGGAAGAGAGAGGAGAAGGAGAAAGGAAGAGGAAGTAGGGAGGAGAAGAGGGGGAGGAAGAGAAAGTAAGAAGGAAAGAAAAGAGAGAGGTGGTAGGTTTGAGGAGAAAGATTGCTGTACAATAAAAAAGATGAAAGGGAAGAAAGCCAACCCCAAACAAATATAAAGATATTAAGATAAGAATGAATTGTTAAACTTTAAAGAATAAAAGAGAACAAATATGAATAAATAACAATAATTAGAAACACACATACAAACATACAATGTATTTTCTTTGAACAGAGTATTTGGCCGGTTCACAAATTTAAACAGTGTTTAGTCATTTCAATTAAATTTACAATTTCTATATTTCCTTTTTGCCATATTTATTCCTCATCTATTTTTTAAAAAACCAATATTACCCTTCATCCTCATCTCTAATCTTAATCAAATTCAATTTTTCCCTTCTATTCTATATTATACCCCTTCCCATTGTCATCTATTTTTATATCCATCCTCACATTGGTTAATTATGTAATATTAGTTGTTTAATATAAATTCAACATTTTAATATAAATCAGTTATATAACTACCTTTTTTGTATATTAATCAATATGAACATGAATATTCCAATTATTTCCATGCAATCCAATTTCTTACAAATCAATTAATTATATTTACCAATAATAATAAACCAAATAATTTCCCCCATATATTCCTCCAAACCACAACTTAACCATTTCTGCTTTCAGAAATATACAATTAATAGTATCTCAATTATTACAATTCCCTAGTTAGAGCTTTTTTTCTTTTGTGTTTTAAAATCCTGAACTCTCCTCTTTTTCCCTAAATTTCCCATTGTTTGCACCTACCTTTTTTGGTGAGGAAAAAGAAAAGAATTCTGCCTGACTAATTTTCCAACCTTGCAGCAACAGCAAAGCAGTTTCAGTTTCGTGTTTCAGCAGAACTAAGGGGAAAAAAATCTGCTCCAGGACTCTTTGCAAGGAAGCAGAAGAGCCCTGAGCAAAACAGCTGAGACAAATCAGCTGAGAGCCGGGAGGCCAATTAGCCTATGCTGAAGCTCCGTGGGCCAATAAAATTACAAAAAAAACACCAAACCGTTTGTTAAATTGCTGGCTCCCCCGCCCCTCGCCCACCACTATTTATTGGCAATAAATAGTGGTGCGGAGGGGCGGGGCAAGCCAGCAATTTAACAAACGGTTCGGCTGCACCACTGGCTCTAGGGCGGCCCTTTGAAGCCCCGCGGCAAGAATTTGAAGTTTTTTTTCCTCTAGCCATCAGCTGGGACTCCGGAGGCAGCAATAGATGGGGAGTGGGCGGGGTAAGCGAACAGCCAGCGATCCAACAGAGCAGAGAGTGAGGGTGAGTGAAGGCGTGGAAGCTGCTTTCTCCATCCTGCTCTCTTGCGTCCGGAGCCGGTGGGAAATCACGTGGCAGCCCACGTGGGTCCCAGGCAGCGGAACTCAGGCTAGGGAAGGGGTGGGCAATTGTGGCTCTTTTACAACCTGTGGCCTTCAACTCCCAGAATTCCTGAGACAGCCAAGCTGTTTCTGGAAGCTGAAGTCCACAGGTTGTAAAAGAGCCACAATTGCCTACCCCTGGCTACAGTAGGCTGGCGCCGTGTGGGTGGGAGGCGAGGGGCGGGCGAGCCAGCAATTTAACAAACGGTTCGGGGGCCAATAAATTACAAAAAAACACTGAACCGTTTGTTAAATTGCTGGCTTGCCCGCCCCATTTATTGGGAATAAATAGTAGTGCAGAGGGGTGGGGCAAGGGGCGGGGCGAGCCAGCAATTTAACAAAGGGTGCGGCTGAACCCCCTAGAACCCCCAGAATCCCACCACTGGGTGGGGGGGAATTACTTTGTATAATATTAACTTCATTTATTGTAGATTATTTAATACATGTAGTCCTCGACTTACAACACTTCATTTAGTGACCATTCAAAGTTACAACATCACTGAAAAAAGTGAGCTAAGACCATTTTTCATACTTGGAATCATTGTAGCACCCCCAAATTCAGATGTTTGGCTACTAACTCATTTATGGCCATTGCAGTGCCCAGGGGTCATGTGATCATATTTTGCGACCTTCTGACAAGCAAAGTCAATGGGGAAACCAGTTTCACTTAACAACCGTGTTACTAATTTACCAACTGTAGTGATTCACTTAACAACTGTGGCAAAAAAGTCATAAAATGGGGCAAAGTCACTTAAGAAACGTTTCACTTAACAAGAGAAATTTTGGGCTCAATTGTGGTCGTAAACTGAGGACTACCTGTATATAATACTATCAAATTCCACAGGAACTCATGGTAGTGCACATTACAAACTAAAATAATTGTAAAATACAATAATATAAATTGCAATGTTTCTTTAAAATGATAATTTTAGTTATAAGAGATGTACCAATGAAGATATTAAATATTCTTTGAACAGCTCAGATTTTAAATAAGTTTTTTCTAAGGTGTGGAGTGATGGATCTGAGTTTCTGGTGGAAGACTCTTCTTTAGGGTAGGTTCCAAGGCTGATAAACCAATGATATGAAGATGAAGGTGAATAGATACAATATATTGATGTTGTGAAACAATTATACACACCTACAGAAGTAAATCAAAGAGGAATCTAGGTCTATATATACAGTTCTTCAGGAATGCTTTTTTTTGCACTGTGCATGATGGAAATAATTACTGTTATACATACAGTTGTTGGCTCTTTTGTTTACATTTCACACTTATAGACACTTCTGAAAATAATGAATAGTTGTGTGATCGAAAATGGGCTGCCTCACACTTTACAATGCCGCCTGTACTGAAAGGACTTGCGGGAACGTCAGGGTTTAATAAGCGTGCATTATCTTTATCCCGTAAGTTCCAGCTGCTGGGTAGACTAATACGCGTTACCTCAAGAAAAGGGCTACAGATCTGATCTGATTCCCCCACCCAAAAAAATGTTTCTCCAATCTGTCGGGATGGGGGAGAGATGTGCGTGCGCATCTCACACGAGGCGAACAAGTCTTGACTGTACGTACAGTACAGTCTCTCCCGCTCACCTTCCCCCTCGGCAGATTCCCGCCTTTTCTCTTCCATCAAGCTGACGAGCGCCTGCTCTAATTTGCGGAGGAAGAGCCGTTGGGCGGGGAGGGGGAGCAGAGCAGCGGGTGTCTCGAGCTGAGGCGGAGCCTGGAGGGCACGCGCTGGTTCCGGGTCAGATGACCTCGTCTCTGAGAGTACAAACTCCCGCCACCGCCACCCCACCCCGAGCGCTTCGCAGGTGGCTGGGCGCGCGCGCTCTGCAGGGCAGCAGTGGCTTTTGGAAATGCATGGTCTTGTTGTTCTGTACGGTTCAGTTCCAGACTCGTGCTCATCCTCTCACGAGAAGGTATTTAAATAATGGGTGAGGTCGTTTCGACCTTTTCACTTTGCGAAGAGAAAACGGAGGGGAAGACGAAGTTCTGCTTTTCTGAGCAAAAGACAAAAAACATTCTCTCCGACGGGGATAATAGGTAAAATGGGCTGCTGGGCACATGAGCCCTACACCCGAATTCATAGCGTCTACAAATCAAATCTGTGAACATCCGGAGATTGACAGTCATTAACCACCGGCACTCAAGCGCACGTGATAGCTTGGTTACTGGTTTTACAGAACTTAAAAGCCTGTAAATTGGTGGGTTTCTTGTTCTTCAACCAGACCAGTTTAAAATATACCTTGATCATTTTCATGTGGCCTTTTTAATTAGCATTCTGCACAATAATAAGTACAGCCTTCTACACTTTCAAAGTTAAAGCCTCAATAAAGAAAATTATGCAACTTACACTTAATATCCCACAAAAGGAAAATATAAAGACAATGTACTATTGTGGTACTTGTCTCTTCCCTTTTAAGGAAATGAATGCCTTTTGTTATACATACTAACATTGTAACCTCTTCTTTTTCCCCCAGTGAAATGTCTTAAGACAGGTGAGAAGAATAGGACCACCTGGAACACATTTCTATTGCATGTGATCTGTTTTGGGGTAGGGTGTGGCTTGTGCTTTATATGCATGTATGTTCCTTATTGGATAAGATAAAGAACCACATGTACGGTAGTTCTATGCATGATAGCAAGCTCCCATCTACCAATTATATGCTGTAAAGTTAAGGACCAGCAGGCAAATCACAAGGAAAGTGAAAAACTTGAACAGGAAACACTTTGCAATAGAGACAAATGCCTGTTTCCTTCACTTGCCTTTTACATTAACATGATTTTTGGTGCTAATGTTGCTTCTAAAAAACAGGGTGATTATCTAACCACCCTATGCCCACCTTCAAGTCCCAGATTTAAGGTGATCTAGAAAATAACCTTTTCTGCTCAAGATGCCAAGGGAGCTATTGTGTCTATATTGACCAGGTTAGTCTTGTTTATTGATAGATAATGCAGAGACAAGTGAGAAAAGGCAACAGGTGCAACTGGCTATTTATTTATTTAGAAAATTTATACCCTGTCTCCCCCAAAATAAGACATCCCCTAATAATAAGCCCAATCGGGCTTTTGAGTGCATGGCAATAAGGCCAAACACTTATTTCAGGGTTCAAAAAAATATAAGTCAGGGAAATGCATGGTCTTGTTGTTCTGTATGGTTCAGTTCCAGACTCGGGGAAACACGGTATTGCCTATTTGCACATTGCGACTCAAGGCAGTTTGCAGGAATATAAAAACATCATATATAAAAAATAATAAATTAATAAAATATACGGTAATAAGACCCCCATCCGTCACCCCAGTGACAACACATCACACAAGCCATTTAATGGGCTCCATCCTGCTCTGGGTTCCACAGGCCTGCTGGCAGAACCAGGTCTTCAGTGCCTTCCGGAAGATTGTTAGAGTGGGGGCCACTCTAATCTCTGGGGGAATGATGTTCCAGAGAGAGGGAACCATGGTTTTCAAAATATTTTTCCCTTACCAAGGAAAATATGCGTTACTAACCAGCAACTAAATGAGCATAAGTCACATCACAGCAAGCTATTACATTGTTGCAGCCTGAGATAGGTTAAGTGAATAAATAAGTGTACCTAAGTGGGGTAAGGGCTTCATTCTGCCTTCAGCATCAGGTAGTGAAAAATCTTAATCTCATCCTGTGATCTGTTGAACTTCATGAACTGGCAAGAGAAATGAATCTTGATCTTCATAAGAAAACCAGTTTAGTGTAATGAAGGTAGAGTACTGGTATTACCTACTCTATTGGGCCAAGAAGGGGGTGGGGTCCCCCTCGTTGAAATGTACCAGCCTGGTTTCCGTACATTTCATCAGCCAAGATCACAGGGTAGGGGCGGGGTGGGTGGCTGGCTGGCTGGCTGTTGTTATAAAAGAAGATCTTGGTCCGAGGGAGGCCACTGTTCCTCAGATTGCTGGATGTAAGTCCCTCCTGGTGAAGTGGGGTCATGGGGCACAGGTGGGCTTGCTGATCACGTACCTGGCTCCCTGCTACGTGGCAGCGGCCCTGTGCGGATCTGGATGGGCTCAACCCATCCAAGACCGAGTGGCTGTGGTTTCCGACGTCCCGATATAGTCAGTTGGTGCCATCACTGACTATTGGGGGCGAGTCATTGGCCCCCACGGAGAGGGCTCGCAACTTGGGTGTCCTCCTGGACTCACAGCTGTCTTTAGAAGAGCACTTGGCTGTGGCCAGGAGGGCTTTTTATCAGGTTCCGCCTGATTCGCCAGTTCCCTTTCTGCATCGGGACTCGTTAAGCACGGTCACTCATGCCCTCATCACTTCCTGCCTGAATTACTGCAATTATAGCCAGCTGGTGCCATCGCTGGTTATTGGGGGCAAATCACTGGCCTCCACGGAGAGGGCTCGCAACTTGGGCGTCCTCCTGGATGCATGGCTGTCTTTAGAAGAGCATGATGGCCGTGGCCAGGGGAGCTTTTTATCAGGTTCGCCTGATACTCCAGTTGCGTTCCTTTCTAGATCGGGACTCCCTACGCACGGTCACTCAGGCACTCGTCACCTCCCGCCTGGACTACTGCAATGCTCTCTACATGGGACTCCCCCTGGGGTACACCCGGAGGCTCCAGCTGGTCCAAAATGTGGCCGCGTGGGGGATTATGGGAGCGACAGGGCGCTCCCATGTGACACCTCTCCTGCGCGAGCTGCACTGGCTCCCGGTGGTTTTCCGAGTGCGCTTCAAGGTGTTGGTGACCACCTTTAAAGCGCTCCATGGCTTAGGGCTGGGGTATTTACGAGACCGCCTTCTGCCACCAATAGCCTCCCACCGGCCAGTATGCTCGCACAGAGAGGGCCTCCTCAGAGTGCCGTCCGCCAGACAGTGTCAGCTGGTGACCTCCAGGGGGAGAGCCTTCTCTGTGACGGCTCCCGCCCTATGGAACAACCTCCCCGAGAGATACGTACAATACCAGACCTCCGGACTTTTCGTCGGGCCCTGAAAACTTATTTATTTAACCTAGCCGGGCTGGCTTGATCCCACTGTTTTGGTTAAATTTAATTGATTTTAATTGGGTTGTTTTAAATTGCGGCCAAAAATATTTAATCATTTTTAAATCGTTTTTAAATTTTGTATGTTCTGTTTTATTCTGGCTGTTCACCGCCCTGAGTCCTGCTGGAGAAGGGAGGTATACAAATTGAAACAAATAAAATAAATAAATGCTCTCTATATGGGGCTCCCCTTGAGGAGCACCCGGAGGCTCCAGTTGGTCCAGAATGCGGCAGTGCAGGTGGTTATGGGAGCGACGTGGCGCTCCCATGTGACTCCCCTCCTGCGCGACCTGCACTGACTCCCGGTGGTCTTCCGGGTGCGCTTCAAGGTTTTGGTTACCACCTTTAGAGCGCTCCATGGCTTAGGACCGGGGTATCTATGAGACCGCCTTCTGCCACCAGTAACCTCTCACCGACCATACGCTCCCATAGAGTGGGGCTTCTCAGGGTGCTGGCGGCCAAACAGTGTTGACTGGCGGCCCCCAGGGGGACAGCCTTCTCTGGAACGAGCTCCCCCCGGAGATACGGACGATTCCGGATCTGCGCGCTTTCCGCCATGCCCTCAAAACATTCCTATTCCAGCAGGCTGGCCTGGCCTAACCTCTCTCTTAAATTGCTTTTTAAACTTTAAATTTGTCTTATAAATTGGGGTGTTTTAAATTTGTTTTCTGGGCCAAAGGATTGAATGTATTTTAAATGGTTTTAACGTTTGTATTGTATGTATTTTATTTTCTGGCTGTTCACCACCTTGAGTCCTTTGGGAGTAGGACGGTATATAAATTTAATAAATAAATAAATAAATAATAATAATAATAATAATAATAATAATAATAATAATAATAATAATATTGAAAAAAATCTCGTTATAGTGTGATAGGCAGCATATAAATTTATATGCTCCCCTGTGAATATATGATGCTGTTACATGACCACAGTAGGATTTGGGTTCATTTCTCCCAAGTAAGTTTTAAAAAGTCTTCTATCCTTTAAGAGAATATGTGAATTCACTTCAGCAGCAGATGCTGTTTCATCAATGGCCAAACATTATTAGATTCATCTCAGAAAAAAAGGTTAAGATTCCAGGAATCTCAAGTTTTTATGATTAAGTGATGCACACCAAAATAGACATTTACAAAATAAATTGGACTTAGAATATTATGCTAAGAATTTAAGCAAAACATGTAAACCTCAGGACAATTTTTTTATTCTAAGAATATACTACTTCCAAATGCAGTTAATATAATAAAGAAAATTTAATGGAGTCAACTTTAAATACTTTAAAGACAGTATTAGTTGTACTCTATATTTAAGTGATGAATATGGGAAAACATAGTTTAAACATTTCTTAGGCTCTTATAATGTGTTTTGTATTTGTACATATGTAGACAAGCAAATACTCATTTAAAGATAGTCCTCGACTTACAACCAACAATTCACCCAAAACTTCTGTTGCTAAGTGAGATAATTAAGTGAATTTTGCCCCATGTTATGACTTTTCTTGCCACCGTTGTTAAGTAAATCA